GATAAGATACTTGTACTTCTACTCAAGTATCACTTTGAGGTACTTTATACAACACTGCTGATTATTGCCAGGTTCTAATTAACCACTTAGCAGTCATTGTTCCACCAGTGGGCAAAAATGATTTCTGCCTTTAAACAGTTCCAGGCATTTCCAGGGTTTTTTTTAACCAGGGTGTCTGATGACTTCCTCTGGTTCTTACCTTTAACTTGACACCCTTAGAAAAATTTTAAAAAGGCTTTTAAGAAATTTCATAGGTGACTGTTAGCTCCAATTAGAATTTCACAAGRAAAAAACAACAATGAAGCAAATATTAGAATATGATTTCTGAGCTGCAGACTATGTAATGGACACACAGGCTCTATCTGCTGTAGGACTGAAGGCAATGATTTGATCATCTGTAACCTTACACCAGAGGAGAAAAGTGCAGGGGCTGATACCATCATAGTCTGTCTGTGAAATACAAACACAGTTCTGGACAATGCAGCCAATGATCCTTTAAATATGGACTAAACCTATGTGATGTTTTTTCAACATAGGCCTCTTCGTGGTTTAGTAACATCGATTCATTTTATTCATATCAATAAAATGACTAATGATTCATTTACATTGAGACAAAAAAAAAACACTGATCCTTATCATCATCATATGCCCAACTGATATGTCCATGATATATAATATGCTGTATATTGCAGACTTGTGAACTGAATTGAATCAAAATTGTATCATGGCAAAATTTGTGATATCTACAAGCGTTGTATTGTCACCCAAAAAACTTGATACATTGTATCGTGATAGAGCTGCTTATAGGTTAGACCTACCTTGGTGACGGAGTTCATGGCCACCAACCAGGTGATGAAACTCTGGTCTCTGGTGATGTGGGTCAGCATGGGTGTGTTGCTGTTGCTGATGGGGACTGCCCAGGTCACACTGGGATAGAAGTTATCATTCATGCTAACTGTCAGGCGGGACGGTTTGGACGTAGGGCCGGTGAGGGTCACCGTCTCCGTTGTGTTGCCGTACCAGGGGTAGCTGACACCATCTGAGTCGCTGATGGCCTTTACCCGACCCTCTCGGAGCTCTGGCAACTCCCAGCTGGACCTGTACCATAACACGGAGATCAGGCTTGAGTTGAAAAACATTCTCACTCCCAACTCGTCACATATTGACGCTTTTCCAAGGTTCCCTCTGCGTCTTATTTTTGATGTTTCGGATAAACCCTCATGTCAGTTACTGACGCACCAGGCATTTCCGGGTTCCCTCRGTGTCTGGTTTTGATGCATCGGGACACAAAATATAGGGGTCTTTGAGTTGGGGTCCGTGGTTAATAATAGGGATCAGGGTTCATGGATAATTTTAGGTTGTGGGGTCAGGGATAGGATGTCTAGGGTGGATATTAGGTAATTTTAGGGTTTGGGACATGTAGTTGATGTGAATTTCCTACACTTTCCAAAAATGGTTAATTTTAGGGATCAGGGTTGATGGTTAATTTTAGGTACTAGGGTCAGGGACAGGATGTCTAGAGCGAATAAAGGTAATTTTAGGCTTTGGGACGGTTAAATTTGAGCATTTTCTACACTTTCTTAAGTGAACATTGGGAAAGCGTCAGTATGTWACGAGTTGGGAGTGAGAATGGATTGGCTTGAGATTTTCCAGCAACGACTAAGTGTGGGGACATCTTCTACTTACATGCCAATGTCACCATATGTGTTGTAGAACTCCATCTGGGTACAGGCCTGGATCCAGCCCACCACCCAGGTTTCATTGCGGGGCACCGGTGGCATCACAACTCCCGCTGAGGCCCTGAAGTATGGTGTCTTGTAACGGAGCACGATGGGTGAGTTCTCCTCGATGATGGTGGGACACTGGTCGATGGAGGCGGACACCTCATACACCACAATGTTCTCCCGTCGGATGCGGGGCTTGCAGGCGATGCTCTGAATACAGCCCATAGTGCCAAGCAGGAGGAGCAGAACCAGAGAAGACGGGAGGGAGTGATACCTGGCCAGTATGCTCATCGGTCCCCTCAGGGCTCCACCCGTTGCCCGGAGAGCAAACCTTACCTTTAACTGCACATCATCATCACTGATTGGTTGGAAAAAGTTGAGAGGTGGATTGGGGGATGCCACAGTCACCATAAATGGAGCATAGGAACATCCACCATCATATGTTCAGGATGGTGTGGAGACTGGAGTTAGGGGGGAGTATATCACAGATMTCTGCAGCCTCCTCCCCCCGGTCTGACTGCTGACTGCCGCACTGCCCTTGGCGCTCGTCCGCAGAAACTGCAATCCGGCCTCCCCTGGGCTGCTGCTGCCTCTCCGCCAGACGTCCTCTGCTCCGTGTCGAGTCCGCACGTCCGGCCGCACGTCGGTGCCCCTTAATCCTGCTGCCCTGCTCCCGGCTCTGCGCTGTCATGTCAGGTGGCGACAGGGCAGCCAGGTGCGTCAGAGGAGGAGGGCTAGGATGCCTTTTGTTCGCTTGGCTCGCTCGTGTTTTCAGCCCAACGTTCACGCGGCGCCCTCGAAAGACGCAACCGGGGTCTTCATCCCTCCGACCTACATGAAAAACATGCGAGAACGCGCGCGGTGCAGGCGAGCTAACTGCGCTATTTTAATGCTTTCCTCGAGGCGGGCTTCCATTCGTGGAGGCGCATGAATGGTGCATGATGAATGGACGCAGCGGGGCAGAATGAACGTGATAAAAGCACGCCGTCGGTCTCACGGTTAGCCGCAGCATCGTCAGGCTGTGGGTCCTCGAGCTGCCGAGCGGAACATGCCGGAGAGCATCCTCTTCCAGCGGCTTCTCGCCTGCTTCGGTGTGGAGGTGCTGATGCTGTGGAGAAAGAGGCAGGGGAGGGGCGTCACCAGAACTCTGCATTGAAAAAAGAAAAAAAAAGAAAAGAAAATAGGCGAACGGGGGCGTGGTTACAGGAGACGTCACGGACACAAAACGAGACCCTATTGGTCGCTGAAGTCAACAGCGGAAGCGCTGTCCTCTTCCTCTCATATCCACCCATACTGACACGCATTCACCGGTCTCCGGCTCGCAGTTTATGTTTGGCCGCTCGGTTGGTAACCTGTTCCAGAGAGTCCAGAGCTTCTTGAACCGGAGGTCACTAATGACGAAGCCGAATGTTGTCTTTGTTCTCGGCGGGCCCGGCGCCGGCAAAGGGACCCAGTGCTCCAAAATTGTGGAGGTACGAGAAAAATAAAATTAAATAAAATACAGGAATATGTGTTTGTCCTTCACGGTTTAGCTTGGCGACACGAAATAATGCTCAGCCAGGTTCTGAACAGGTTTGCTTGTTGATTATATTTGTATTAACAGTGTAATGATTAATTTTGATTAACTTCCGGTTGTCCTCTAAAGCTGAACCTGTGCTAACCAGCCAGACAGCTAGCAGTTAGCCTCGCAGAATATTTAGTTTAACTCGAATAAACAATCAGATCACGCTCAGAAGCTTCACAGTAAGTAACTTTTTGTTCATTTACATTTGTCTTCAACTATCCTGCAGTGGTTTTTTTTAAAAGACTAACGGAAAATCATTTGCTTTAGCCCCCGGTTTTGATGAATGAATGAATTAATAATTAATTAATTATTAATTCATTCATTCATCAAAACCGGGGGCTAAAGCAAATGATTTTCCGTTAGTCTTATAAAAAAAAACCACTGCAGGATAGTTGAGGACAAATGTAAATGAACAAAAAGTTACTTACTGTGAAGCTTCTGAGCGTGATCTGATTGTTTATTCGAGTTAAACTAAATATTCTGCGAGGCTAACTGCTAGCTGTCTGGCTGGTTAGCACAGGTTCAGCTTTAGAGGACAACCGGAAGTTAATCAAAATTAATCATTACACTGTTAATACAAATATAATCAACAAGCAAACCTGTTCAGAACCTGGCTGAGCATTATTTCGTGTCGCCAAGCTAAACCGTGAAGGACAAACACATATTCCTGTATTTTATTTAATTTTATTTTTCTCGTACCTCCACAATTTTGGAGCACTGGGTCCCTTTGCCGGCGCCGGGCCCGCCGAGAACAAAGACAACATTCGGCTTCGTCATTAGTGACCTCCGGTTCAAGAAGCTCTGGACTCTCTGGAACAGGTTACCAACCGAGCGGCCAAACATAAACTGCGAGCCGGAGACCGGTGAATGCGTGTCAGTATGGGTGGATATGAGAGGAAGAGGACAGCGCTTCCGCTGTTGACTTCAGCGACCAATAGGGTCTCGTTTTGTGTCCGTGACGTCTCCTGTAACCACGCCCCCGTTCGCCT